ACGTTTCGTCAGGCTTTATGTATGTAGAAGACATTACTTTTTGCCTGAAAAGGCCGAATGCAAAGAAATACATGTAATACATGTGATGCAATAGTCTCCATTTCAACAGCGATTACACTATGTTTTGCGCTTGAAGTTGCCGTCGTCGCGACAAGCAACTGAAATAATATCATTGCATGCCGATCTTCTTGCGTTTCGGTTGTGATAGTTTTCCAACACGACTAATCTTATACATAAAGCTGAATGTCTGTTTGTTTGTGTGTACGTGTTGTGTGTGTGTCTGTACGCATGTTCCGAATAGAAAATTTCATTTGCAAACCGATCCGGGCCAAACTTTGCACACATACACTCAGGGGCGGGGCGAGTGTCATAGGCTTTCGTCACCAATCGATATCGATTTTATCTACTTTAGCGATTTTTTTTGCAAAGTTCAGCCTACATGGCTAGGAGTTGGCACAAGGGGGTAATGCATGCTAATTACGAATACAATATTAGTTTCTAGAATTATTGATCACTTTTACCGATTTTATCGATTTTTTGCAAAGTTCAACCTACATGGCTAGGAGTTGGCACAGGGGGGTAAGTGAGCATGCTGCTTACTAACACAGCGGGAATAGGAAATTGGCACGTAGAAGTGGGCACAGGGTAAGGTTGTACAGGATAGGGATGAAATTTTTATCAAAGTCTTTTCACAGGGCCGAGCGGAGCCGGGAAAGCCAGCTAGTCGTTGACTAACTATCACAACAGAAATTAAGAAGATCGGCATTCAATGAATTTGTAATTGTCTTGTAGCTATGAATCGCGACGTTGAAATCTCGTAAACTCTGCCCGAGGCCTAAGGTATTTCACGCGTTCCAGTGGCTGCGCAATCTGACACAGCAATGACTCTTCAGAACTAGTCATAAGCGCGCTTTGTCTGGGCCAGACTTGATGATTTTGCGACAACTCACAAAAACTACGCCTCTGCTTCAGAGACCCGCACATGATTAAACTAAACACATCTAGAAAATCACCCCATCGCTTGGATGTAGCGATTGACGGGATCGCGGGAGGTACAGTCTGCCCCAATCGGGACCAGGTCGAACTGTTGGCTAGATTTGAGCACACGCAGAGCCACTTCTTTGCGCTGCATACGCGCACTGTCGGAGGGAGTGAAGAGATCAAAGAGAGAGCAGGCAAACAGGCCATAGGCGTGACGCAGAACCCTTGCGACGCGGACTTGCGCCATGCCAATTTTGGCCTGATTGGGATTGGAGCAGACTGTATGCCTTAGGCCTTAGGCAGCTGTGAGCCTTGCGGAAGCGGCATATTCCTTGTGCATTGATATGTTTACGTATTGATGTGTTTGCTATTGCAATGTTCCATAGCGGAACTTATCCATGTACGTTGGTGTAGTGAGCAATATTAAAATGTTTTTTTTCTCAGACAAACCGATAACGGCTAATCCACATCAGTGGTCATTCATGGTAAAGCGCAAATCGTTAAATGAAGCAAGCCGTGATCATGAGTCTGCCTTACATACTTGCTTTCACCGAATAGACGAAGATATGGCGGTTATCAACAGAAAAATCGAGTGTGCATAATGCAAGATTGATTTATCTTAATGTATGCTTGGCAGTACGAGAATGTGCAGATATGCGTCTATGCTGGTGCATACTCAAAACTGAGCTAATCGTTCAACAATGTTAAATATTTTTGCTTACTGTTTTCCTTTCGTAGATTGTGGCTATCGTTTTGTTTGATACGTAGACTAATTATAAAATGCATTTAGTAATAGATCAAAAGAGAAAAAGAGAGCTGCCAAATCATCACGAACGCAACACTAACTATGCTTGTATCAGTGATGTCCGGATCGGGTAGAATCCCAAGACATCTTGCGACGCTGATGTTTAATACAATAAAAAAAGAAAAACACGACAAGGATTGCGCTGAAACGAAAGTAATTACTAATCACAATCGGTACATACTCGAATGTTCGGTTAAAAAGCTTATGCATGTTCAATATTCGAATTCTTGCAACGTTCGTCTTTGGTTAAAATATGGTTATATCGTTAGTATGGTAAAATATGGTTCGTTTTCTCCCTCGATCGAACATGTATCGATCAATGTACAGTCTGCCCCAATCCTAACCAGGCCAAAATTGGCTTGGCGGGAGTGCGCGTCGCGAGTGTTTCGCGCCACTTCTGCATCTAGCTAGTCTGCTCTCTCCTCAATCTCTTCGCTCTCTGCGACAGCGCGCGTATGCAGCGCAAACCCCTAGCGCTGCGAGCGCGCAAATTCAGCCGACGGTTCGGTTTGATCCCGATTGAGGCAGACTGTATTTTGCGCTGGCAGCAATTTCGAAATCAAGCGCGCTTTTGTACTGGTACAGCAACGATGAAATGGTAGCTTGAGTTTCAGGCATGTGCATTAAGAATTAACCAACGCCCGTTCCTTGACGCTTGTAAAAGAACACCCAAGGTTAAGTGTCCATTTTACTCCAAAAAATATGTTTCTGCTTGATGTTATATCGCCTACGAATGTTCTCCTGCTCAATGCTTTGTGTTCCTCAACAATATGTTGTTCTTATTAATCTTGGGAGTGTGTTAATTCCCTGAGTCTCGCAGTTCGCTGTGAGACCACACGACCTTAAAGGTGTCATCTAGGGGGCTTTTCCAGTTCTAATTCGTGACTCTTTTTGTGTCTATCCTTTTCCTTTTGGGTCTTTTTTTGCTCTGCTAGTTTGTAACAGTTAGGCGTTTCGTTTGACTTCCTTCTTTCTGCAGTATCATCAAAGTCATCCGTTGGACTTATCAGGAGAGTAACTATGGCTGCGTCCCGGTTAGCTTTACATAGGGCTCTACAATGCTATTCCTCCGTTTCATTTTATTTTACATGATTGTCGTGATTTGTATGATTCTTGTGATTCCTGTTTCTCGTAGTCCTGCGATTCTGTGTTCATGTAATTCTTTTGATTTGCATACTTCCCGTAACTCTGCAATTCTGCTGTTTCTCGGTGGTTTTCAATTTTGTAGCGTTGATTCTTCCGCTTTTGTAATGCAGGATTCAGTGGTGAAGGACTATATACCCGCTTATCTTTGTTTTGTTTCCTCTAGGCTCAACCAACTTGTTATTAATTGTACTGTAAAGAAGAGGAGCAAAGTGTTGATCCCTCCGCAATCAACAGCACTTCACCATTACTGACAGAGGTTTTTGCTCTCTACCCACAACGACTTGAAAGAGTTCCGCAGGAATGTTACAGTCTAATATATGCTCCACTCTAGTGTATTTGTGACGACAAAACTTCGCGGTAAAATTTGCCGGTAGACAATAGCAAAATTTGAAGATAGAAGAAAAGTCAGCAATCCCAGTTATCTATTGTTTATCGAAACTACCTAAAAATCCTGTTAAGTTTAGACACATAGCAGGACGCATATCACAGTAGTATTAACAGTATCTGTAGAATTATGCAGTATTTTGAAATTCTTAGAAAACATTTCACTAATTACATGAATTCGATTAAAGTACGTAACAGAAATTTATTGGTTATTGGTCAATTAACAATACTAATATAAGTTACCCATTGAACAACATAACCTTTCATAATATGAAATTATTCTCAGCAGATTTTACAGATATGTTTAACAATTTAGAGAATGATATAATAATGAAAAATTATGAGAAAATTGAAAATTTGCTACAACAATGCAAACAAAAAATCCTTAGCCTATAACGGATACAGTAAACTTTTTGCACCAATGAAAACATTAATCCTACTTATCGATACTATGATATACAAGAAGTATTATACATACTAGATTAGTTATTAGAAAATAGCTTTTGTAGATTTGCAGAAATTATATGCAAGCAAACTATAGGTGTACCACAAAGCAGTACCTGTAGTCCTATGATCGCGGATTGAACACTTTCATGCTACGAATACAAATACACAAAACAAGACATGATTTTCTTCACAACTTCGTGTCTTTCAGGTATATGGATGAAATACTAATAATGCACGATGAGGACAATATTGCAATATTAGAAATACTACGACAAGTTTACGATAACAAATTAACATTTAGGATTACACACGATAATGAATGTAGCGGTAACTATCTGGATCTTAATATCAACATCCAAAATAATAGAATTATTACAAAACTATACAATAGAACCGAGAGTTACAAATATAAAGTTCTTAGATTCCCACACAACGATTCCAATATTTTCCTACAGACTAAGAAATTGGTAATATACACAGAAATTTTGAGGATTGCCAGAACATATACGAACTTCGCAGCTCGTATTGTTCTTTTCTCCCTCATATAGAAACTCATCACATCCTTGTAGTTTAGTCATACTTTGCCAGTTGCAAAGCATCGATGATTTGCATCGTTTTTTACTACTGGAGGAATTCGCAGATGTTCGCGTCAGATGTGAATTGCTTAGGTTTTTAGCTAACAGTAGGATGTCGCGCGCAGCTGTGGCTTGATATGTGATCACGCATATAAGTAGCTGACTGTGCACAGTCAGAGTTATTCACATGTACGACTCTTGCTCATTTGTTTTAACATTATTTCACTCGTATATTTGTGCCTTCTTTCAACCATATCATTTTTATTTGTAGTTCATCATTTAGTAATGTATTTTGTTATTTGTTCTACCCGTGTTTGTTGTTATCTGTTTAATCGTGTTTATTGTTGCTATTTTGTTGCCAAGATAAAGTTTAATTACCCAAGTTTGAGGTGTGCTCGTGTTGTCCAACGCTCAAGACCCGCGTGGCAGATAATCTTTGTGGTTGTGGTTCACAAGTGGTACTCGAAGCCTTATAGTTCTGACTATATCCCAACCACCAACCAATACAAGTGGTGCATCGACCAAATCAAGAGGTACCTTTTATTGCAGAAGATAAAGTGTGTCTCGCTTGCTTTGCACGATACGCTTTGATTGTTGCACGATAGTGGATCACCTGCACATACTGGAATCGCACAGAATTTCTTTTTGCCTGCACTTCCATAATGACAACTACAGTAAGAGCGTACAAGGGACTGATGACCAAAAGAAGCCAAGTCGCTCTGGCATGGTTGGAAGAATCCACACAGCGTCTACAACACCTGAAGGAAGAAAGCACACAACAAGAACAAGTTAAGGAATTCACAATGACTGTGGCGAGGTGCGACGAGTATCTGGAACTTCTCGAAGCATCCTTAACCAAACTCACGGAAGCCTTCGATAAACTTCAGGATACCACAGACGAAGAAGAAGATCAGTTAGACAAGCACGCGGAGATTGCTCAAGAGACTATCATGAAGTTATACGCACACAAATCCAATACCAAGCAGATGCTACAAGAAATAACGACGGCAGCTACGCTCCGAACAAGTGGAACCGACCACCAATGTTCGGCAGCAGTTAGCAAACTTCCAACTATCCCTATTCCAAGCTTCACAGGAAAGAAATGGGAATGGGACAACTTCTGGGCCATATTCAAAGCCAACGTACACGACCAGGATCTAACGGAATTGCAAAAATTCAACTATTTACTGTCAGCCCTGAGTGGGGAGGCGAAGCAATCGATCTCGCGATTCTTCGTATCAGCAAACAATTACGAAAAAGCCATACAGCACTTGGCGAAACGCTATGGCAACAAGGATGGCATTATTCTGGAACTGAACAAAAGCCTACACAACTGCTTGGCAAGAGGACCCACCACCGCAGATCAGCGTCAATTATGGGACAAACTTTCAACTATCGCAGCGCAACTAGAAGAACACGAGCAGCACCTCAGCAATCAGATAACAATCCAAATCTTTCTCCAGAAGTTTCACGTACGCATTAGGAAAGCAGCTATGGAGAAACGACTTAGACACAAAGAAGAAAACAATAGCGAGTGGACATTGGACCAATGGCTCGACGCCATTGATGACGTCATATCACAAGAGGAACAGATAAACCACATGCTCTCGGTCGAAACACAAACAAGAAATCATACAAGTCACAATACGGTGGCGATGAAATCACCGTCAGGACCAACCGGCAGATGGAAACCAAGCAACCTTTGTGAATGCTGTGGAGGTAACGGACACAGGTGGATGAATTGTTCGCAAATTCCTACAGTAGCACAGAAAAAAAGTTTTTTGCTTGACACTGGCAGATGTCTCAACTGCGGATCGATTGACCACAGAGTAGCTTCATGTCTTAGCGGCAACTGCCGAAAGTGCGGCAAAAAACATCATACGGCAATATGTATGGAACAAAAGCCGGGCGAAGGCACGCAAAATCGATCGGAGCGAAGTCAACAGAAGAGAACAGAAGTACCAAGAACACCCAAAAATCAGCCGAAGACGCCAGCAAAACCTTATTGTTCTTCGAAGCAGCATGTGGTAATGGAGTCAATCGGACAAGACACTCACGAAACAAAACAGGGAGCAACGGAAAGTGCCGAAACTCCAACAGTACTACAGCTCAAGAAAGAAAATGGCTGGAGGCAGAACAGAGTAGTCCTACTCGCAGGAGCAATCCAGGTACTCGACACTGATGGGAACAAAAGGGAAACTGTCGTCTTGCTGGATACAGGTTCAGAGCTCTCTTTTATTGGAGAGGAGCTTGCAAACGAGCTCAAGTTGCCAACATTAGGCACAGCCTCTTTCGAGCTCAGTACGTTTGGGTCACCTGCAGTGAAGACAAGAACGTGCGCTAAAACCGTCTTGAAGATGCTGGACAAAGAAGGCACACAACACGAAGTACAGCTGTATAAGAATGATTATATTACAAGCTCTGTACAACGAGCGAACCTCGACCCCGAAGATCTACGGTTCATCAAGGAAGGAAAGTACGATTTGTCTCTGCCTGTAGAAGGTGGAGACCTGCGACCACAAATCCTCTTAGGCTGCGATTACCTTTGGAACTTCATGGAACCCAGCAGCAATTTGAACCTGCCTTCGGGACTGCACCTGATACCGACCAAGCTAGGATATATCATTAGCGGTCGACAAGGATACACGTGCCAAAGGCTGGCGGTATCATGCACACTCCAAGGACATGAAACTGAAAAGGAGACATGGGACCGCTACTGGTCTTTGGAATCCACCGGTACGGAGGAGTACACTGGTCCACAAAAAACGGAGCTCCAGAAAACAAACGAGAAAGTATTGGAAAATTTTAAGGAGTCCATCGAGAAAAGGGAGGACGGCTACTACGTACGCCTACCATGGAAAGAGAACCATCCTGAACTCCCAGATAACAAGGCGCTAGCAATGAAACGTCTTGCAAAGATCCTGGAGATATATCAAAAGGACCCGAAGACACTACAAGCGTACGACAACATCTTCAAGGAACAACAAGAGAAGGGAATAATAGAAGAAGTAACATCGAAGTACGTTGATGAAGGAGAAGTAGTCCACTATTTACCGCATCAGGCGGTAATCACTCCCTCTAAGGAAACGACAAAGATGAGAATCGTCTTTGACGCGTCAGCCCACTACAAAGACTGCCCTAGCCTCAACGACGTACTCCATCAAGGCCCTCTCATCCTCCCGGATTTGGTTGGAATTCTGCTTCGATTCCGAATGCACAGCATCGCAGTGATGTCGGACATCGAAAAGGCATTCCTACAAGTACGACTGCAAGAAAAGGACCGTGACGCCACCCGTTGTATCTGGGTCAGGGATATCTCACTTCCACCCACGCCGGATAACATAGTGGTCTACAGATTCACCAGAGTTACCTTCGGACTCAACTCTTCCCCCTTCCTGTTAAGCGCTACGATAGATCATCACCTAGAAACCACAGCAAGTGATGACGACATGGCCCCGGAAATAAGAAGGAATTTGTACGTGGACAACTTATTCTTTGGTGCACAATCTTCAAACGAAGCACTTTTGAAGTATGCACACACAAAGAAGCTCTTCCAAGACCTCAAAATGAACTTGAGAGAATTTTGCTCCAACGACAAAACCTTCTGCAACGCCATCGATGAGGCCGACAAGATGAAATCCACCTCCCCCAAGGTCCTAGGCATTGTATGGAATTCGGAAACGGACAAGTTCATTATCAAAGGCTCGATGACAACCTTGAAGGGAAAAGATACCAAGCGAACAGTCACACAACAACTTGCTTCTGTGTATGATCCAATGGGATTTCTGGTGCCTCTACTACTACCGGCAAAGATATTCATGCAGTCACTATGGAAGGAAGGATTAGATTGGGACACACCGCTTCCAGCGCAACTGCGTGATCAGTGGCATCAAATAACATCAGAAATTGCAACATTTTACAAGGAAGTGAATAGACGAATTCTCAGCAAATCCGATGGCTACAGACTCGTCGTTTTCACCGACGCTAGCCAATACGCAATCGCAGCATGTGCGTATCTCACCTCGCAAGAAGAATCCAACATTATTATGGCAAAATCCAAACTGCCCTCCATCAAAACCTCGATGACGATTCCCAAGTTGGAGATGAATGCACTGACGATGGGCGTAAGAATGTCTCGCTTTATTTGTGAAATGTTGGAACCATCCTGCAAAATCAAGGAAGTGATTCTATACACAGACTCGGATATCGTGTTAGGATGGATAAGAACCCCTCCATCGCGACAAAGCGCAGGCATTTTAGTCACAAACCGATTATCAGAGATTAGACGAATCAGCAATGATCTCCGCAGTCAAAGCACCACGTGTCTCTTCGGACACGTCTCAACGGCAGAAAATCCAGCCGATTGCGGAACAAGAGCACTATCAGCAGAAGCTTTACAGAACCATATCTGGTGGACAGGACCTGAATTCACCAACAAACCGGATCATTCAAAGCTGAGTACAGTTGCTGATTTCGAACAATCGACAATGATGTCAGTGGAGGCAGTAACTCTAAACTCGTCAGAAGAGGTATCTAAGGACGAAGTGGTCGACTTGAGCAGACACAGCACCCTTGAGAAAGCTCAGAGAGTGCTAGTGTATGCACTTCGATTCATAAACAGATCCCTGAGTCATTTTCCCCACGAAAGAAGATTGGCATTACAACAACACATACCGGCTCTCAAGGAAATTTCACCGTCACAAACCATCACAGGGATCGAGATGCACGAAAGTCGAATGTGCTTGATTCGAGACCATCAGAAGAACTATGTGAACGAGCATCAGATCAAGTCGCAGAAGGAACTGAATATTCGACAAGACGAAAAAGGAATCCTGCGCTGTTACGGACGTCTACAACAAGCAGATGTACCAGTAACGGCAAAAACACCAATCTACATTGCACCCAAAACTATGTTGGCACGTCTAATCATCTCGGAAATTCACGGTCATTATCACCGCGGAGTTGCTCATACCATGGCCGCCGTACGCGAAACGTATTGGATACCCAAACTCAGACAGCAAGTGCGAAGTTGGATCCAAAAATGTGTCCCATGCCAAAAGATGAACAATCTTCCTTTTATCTACCCTGACATGGAGGCATTACCAGTGACAAGAGTGCACCGTACGCGTCCATTTGAGCACATAGGACTTGATTATTTTGGACCTCTGACGACCATTGATAACCACGACGGATCCAATAAGGCATACGGATGCATTTTCACATGTCAAGTAACAAGGCTCATACATTTGGAGCTCGTGGGCGACATGACCACAGAAGCATTCCTCAACGCGCTTCGAAGGTTCTTTGCAAGAAGAGGAGTACCGCAAACTATCACTTTTGACAATGCACCAACATTCCTGTTGGGGGAGCAAATCCTGAAAGACGCCACAGAAAATATGGTCAACAGCACTGAAGTAGGAAGCGAAATAGCACGGCGAGAGATTAGATGGAACCATATAACGCCTTATGCACCGTGGCAGGGTGGATTTTATGAGAGGCTTATCCGCTCCATCAAAAACTCGCTGTACAAAACGCTTGGAGTGCGAACCATCACTTTTGATGGCCTCAGGACTATGCTCACGGAGATAGAAGCGGTTTTGAACTCACGACCTCTAACTTATCAAGAGGAGAAATGGGAAGAACAACCAATACTTCGACCCATAGACTTCATTCAAAACAAGATGACTCTGGATTATCCTCTGGAGTACATAGGTAAAGAAGGACAAGACCGAATTTACCACACTCCAGAAGAAGCACAACAACTAGCTACACAACGTCAAACTGAAGCGGCGCTGAAAACATCTGTAAACTTGACTGAAAAGTTCTGGAAAGTCTGGACTGAACAGTACCTTACGAGCCTGAGAGAGCAGCTTAAAATTCGGATGAACGAGAAGCGTGGAACAAGAAAATCGCCAAAGGAAGGAGATATCGTACTCTTGTGGGACGCAGTACAGCCCAGGAACACATGGAGAACCGCACGAATCGTACAAGTAGATGAATCTCCTCATAAGGCGACACGAGAAGTCGTCGTGGAAACGCCAAACAAGCGACGTTTGCGACGACCTATAAATCGAGTGGTACCTTTAGAAATCGACAAAGAAGAGATCCCGAACACTTCCTTCCCATCGGAGGCACCAGCTACTCGATATAACCTCCGTTCGAGATGTCCTACCAATTATAATGAACAGGAAGAACAAGAACCGACGCGCAGAAAAGCCCCAACCTTCGCCTCATCCGTAACATCGCTGCTCACGGTAGCTCTACTTTCATTGTGCGTGACGAAAACAGCGGGATCAAGCAGCAACGGGAGCTACCAACTCCAGTGCATTGAAGGAGGAGTGTCTCTTCTGCAAGCAAATCGACAGCCCTACGAAATTTGTGCAGAAGACTTCTGTATGGAATTCAAAACGCCGCGGCAACAGGAAATAGTAAGATTTCCCCCACAAATTACTCTGCACGAACAACTCGTCAAATGGAAAATCTTCGACGGTGAAGACGTTCACATAATGGAGACAACGTGCAAGGCCGCACCGTTTTGCGAACAGATAGACTGCACCTTCTGCGCAGTGATGGTGAGCAATCCAGAATGCTGGCCACGCACGGCTATACTAGTCACCGGATTGCTAGTATACTTGGCGATAACCATGTGCTACTGCCTGTTCAACGTGCCAGTGCTGTTAGGAACACCGATACTCTATGGACTAAAGCTGGCAGGAATGTGCGGATGGCTGATGTTCAGGTTACTATGCCGATTGCTGAAAATCGCAACAGGCAACGACCGACGAAGAAGAAGAAGAGCATGGATGAGAGATGTTGTTCTTCTTACGATCCTCTGCATTAGTGGACTAGCAGCCGGATGCCAAGATGTTGAAGTGTTAACGCACCAGACGCAAGCATGCACTCAATCTGGAAACGAGGAATACTGCACCGTCGACACCACAGAGATACTGAAAATCAATCCATTCAAACAGGAAGCGTGCATGAGACTTACGAGTAACCATACTAGCGTTTTGGAAATCAAGCTGGCTTGGAAGAATCTCAATCTGGTTTGCGAAAAGGAAACTCTCCTGTTCTCCAGGAGCACTAGATACGCACTACTGGATAGCAAACGCTGCCCTCATGCCGGATCATGTACAGGAGAAAAATGCGCAGGGATACAACGGACATCGAAGGTGAAGGAACTGCAGCGAGTCAACGATTATCCGGGTGTCACTGGATGTGTCGAGAGCTGTGGAGGACCAGGTTGCGATTGTTTTTATCCTAGCTCGGGATGCCTATTTTACAGGATATACCTTGTTCCAACGGACGAGAATGTGTACGAAATCTTCAGATGTCCACGTTGGAAACAGTTCGTACACTTAAAACTAACCGTAAGCGAACAAGGTTCAGTGCAGCACAGCCACGACTTCCAGGTCATACCGAATCAACCAAAAAGCATATCATCGTTCACTATAACCCTTTCATCCCTGAGCACACCACCCACGCCGGCCTTGAATTCGATATTTCTCACAGACGGAAAGCGATACGCCACTGTGGAAGCGCACCAGGAGCCGCCGCTGGTATGTAGGACATGGGAAGATGCGAAAAACCTCACCTGTGATGTATACGAGGATTGCAAATGTGCCGCAGCCGAAACAAAAATGATGTGCGACTGCAAAGAGGTAAATCTCACTTCCCTAATCAGCACTCCACAACACCGATTGCCGATTATACGTCCTAATCTCGAATTTCGCGCTATCGATGAAAAGGTCACAGCTCGGATACCTCAACTGCCGACAGCAGAATTCATACTTCGAATGAAGAGCAAAGTTCGCATTACAGCACTACGATCCGACGCTATCTGTTCAGTGGAGAACGCCTACAGCACAGGATGCTACAACTGTGCTAAAGGAGCGATAGCAGTACTAATGTGCAGATCTTCAGTAGCGGCAACAAAAGCTGAGGTCGAGTGTGAAGACAGCCTATTTGTTATCCCATGCAGTCAGGAAGGGACGGAGACCAATGTCACATTCGTTGCTGATAAAGCGCAATTTTATCGGAACTGCACAGTGCGATGCGGAAAGGTTCAAACTACATTCGAGATCTCAGGTATCCTACACTACACGGGCAACTTAAATATGGCGGCAAGAAGAGTTCTACAAGGCGAAAGTGAATTATTCTCGGAGATAAACTTACCAGACTTCTCGCATCTGGCACAGACATTCTTGATGTGGTACTGTATACTAGGAGCGACAGTACTGGTAGTAATCGTTGCCTTGGTAATAACGTACTTCTACGCCTCCAATGCTTGTGTATTCTCGGTCATTAGAGCCCTCTGTGGATTACTCTATGCATTGGCTAAATTGGCACATCGAATGGTTCGACTCTCTTGGCTGTTACCATACCGATTTCTTCGAATGCTCTGTTCACTCAAAAAGAAGAAACCAGAAGAAAAGGATTTGTGAGATCACCAGAGATTACAGCCACAGCGACAGCGCAGCAACGACAAACTAGCCCGTCCCGAACTCATTGGTGAGGCCGGAGTATACGAACTTCGCAGCTCGTATTGTTCTTTTCTCCCTCATATAGAAACTCATCACATCCTTGTAGTTTAGTCATACTTTGCCAGTTGCAAAGCATCGATGATTTGCATCGTTTTTTACTACTGGAGGAATTCGCAGATGTTCGCGTCAGATGTGAATTGCTTAGGTTTTTAGCTAACAGTAGGATGTCGCGCGCAGCTGTGGCTTGATATGTGATCACGCATATAAGTAGCTGACTGTGCACAGTCAGAGTTATTCACATGTACGACTCTTGCTCATTTGTTTTAACATTATTTCACTCGTATATTTGTGCCTTCTTTCAACCATATCATTTTTATTTGTAGTTCATCATTTAGTAATGTATTTTGTTATTTGTTCTACCCGTGTTTGTTGTTATCTGTTTAATCGTGTTTATTGTTGCTATTTTGTTGCCAAGATAAAGTTTAATTACCCAAGTTTGAGGTGTGCTCGTGTTGTCCAACGCTCAAGACCCGCGTGGCAGATAATCTTTGTGGTTGTGGTTCACAAGTGGTACTCGAAGCCTTATAGTTCTGACTATATCCCAACCACCAACCAATACAGAACATGTACACACATGAAAGATTTCATTGAAAGAGTAAAACAGTTTAATAATTATCTAATAGAAAATAGTGGCTAATAGCGAATCCAGAGAGCCTTTTGTTAGCTGTTTATTCAAATGTTTGCATCGCAATAAATTCGTAACTTAAATACTGCATGAATACAGAATAAAACATTCTTGAAAAGTTTGTCGAAGAAATATTCTGAAAATAAACACTGCCAGTAAACTGAGACATGCACATATCACTAAATATGCTTAAAATAAAGACACTTACTATGCGTAGCATTTTAACATGCATACATACACATAAACAAAGTCATGCACACATACTAGTCTACATGCATATATACACGTGCACATGCAAACGAGTACATCTTGTTCATAGGTTCATAATCTTTAATTCTTATCACTTTGATTTTTAGAACTTGTTTATTTGCATATGTGTTCAAAGAAACAAAAATTTTTCACTCAGAAAATCATCCCTCACTAATCCTTACGGGACCCTCTCACATGTGTCCTTCACTCAATTTGAAATAAGTATGGTATCATAAGGCGCACATGTGGCTTCACTTAACCTTTTTGTACCATATTGTCTTCCATACTTGCGTCAGTACTATATAATTTACAGGGTGCGCCAGAATTATTTGCGCGTGTACTCTGCAACGCAAAACTCGTACAAGACGAGATCAGCGATAGGCAAAAAGCTATTTTGTTTCATTAACGTTTTATCATCAAGAGGTTATAGCATGAATGGAATTTCTAAGCGTGGCTTGAGAAAAATAGTCATGTGTTTGCTACATACTCAAAAACTGCACATTTTAGGGGTGCGAATGAACGAAAGAAAAGCAGAAATTGACTCTAAATCAGGTTGGAGTTCAATTTTATTAATGGAAAGAAACTGAATATTTATCTAGAAGCTTTGTGAAAGCACTACAGCATTAAATCCGGTGACAGGCACGTTTCTGTAGCTTACAAATGTGATTTGAAAACAAAACGGCCACTGACACGTGGGTGGCATTTGCGTACTTTTTGTTGCCATTTTTGGAAGAATAATTGTTGGCGAACGCAAGTACTACGATTCGATAGCGCAAAGCCTCCTCTACACTATGGACATAAAATCCCTTGAAAATGTCTCAAGAATCTCCAGTTACGGTACGAATTATAACCAGGGTAAAGCGGGGGGTGCGGCACGCCGCAGAGGGGGGTCGTTAGGGGGGGGGGGTAGGTAGGGGGGGTCGTATCGACCCAAGGTCAAAAGCACTTGTACAAGCTGTGGGACTGAATTGACTTGCTGAAAGCGCTGTTGAAATCCTGCAATATTCAAGTTCATCGACACAAACTTGCAGATACCGTATGCCTACCGTAACCTACCGTACCTCTAATCAAGCATAATTGTCGTAATCTGCGTGTCGAATAACCCCAATGCGCCAAGTTCCAGCGAACTCTGAGGTCTCCGAGCAGTAAACAACCTTGTATAAAGCAGTAATTTAAAACATGATTAACTTCATCTTAACGGTGAGTAAGCTACCTCTTCTTGCACTCAAGACAAAGCACTACTCCTTCTTTGTCCACCTCAGGAATCCCGCTTCAGAAGACCTCCAAACTGTGGAATTAGAAGCCAACCAAAATCTCGTTTTTCCCATTTTTCGCTTTTGATCGCTGTGCTTTCACCAAATATTACTCAGAGCTAAGAAGACGAATCAGGTCAAAACATCCCTATGGAATCTACGAGGTTTAGGCTATTGATTCATATAAATATTGTCCGCTAAAAATGTTTTTTTGATATAGTTAATGGCCTGCGGCACCCCCCCCCCCCCCCCCCTCAAAACCTGCGGCAGCCGCAGGCCATTATAATTTATAACTACCGAAAAATTAGGTTTTTGCGCCTTCCAAAAGTATTAGTACGACAATTTCATTATTTGCACAAAGGTATGGCAATCACCTTGGGCTCGTAAAACGCCATTTTGTAGAGGATGATTGCAGCATTCTATCACATAAATTTTGAAATCAAAACTATGAGTAGTTTTTTCGCAGCACTCATGCAAAGTTGACGCATATACTTTTGGCGCACCCTGTACTTATGTAATTTAATTTATTTTTATAATTATAGGTTCCCACAACTTCACCACATTTTGGAGACAAACGTCTTCACCGCACTGAGGAAACAATCAGGTTAAGGTTAGTTTCAATACTTAATTTTCTTAGTACCATACGATATTCCTCCTATCTAGTTTCCGTCTAGTGAAAGGAAGGAAACGGAAATTAGATACCACCTAGCTTTCTTTTTCTTTTTGTTCGGTAGCATTTGCATGTCTTACTTTCATAATTTCTTACGGTTCATGCTAATTGCGTCAAATCTCTTGCTGTATTTTGCCGTTCAGTGGAAGTGCACCCATTGCTTTCCGATTGAAAAGGAAACCATTTGTTGCAGTGAATAAAATGGCACACATCTGTGCAAAACTAGAGCCGAATTGTTCTACAATATTTGAATATATCCGCACGTTATTTTCCTTTGAAGGCTTCTCGGTATCTCACATCCATTGAACAGAAGCTTGTATCCCTCGAACCTCCGAACCACAGATGTCATTGACCCCTTGTGCCCTCACCTGTGCCGCAGTGTGACTTGATTGGACCGGCAACGAACGCGCTTCCTTCACTTTGTGGCAACTTTAAGGGATTTACCATGGAATTATGTGTCCGTCTGAGAAATAGGTAGAAGTAGTCGCTACCAGAGCGTGGCTTTGACCTAAGAAAGCTAAATACAAGCCGCCGGCATAATCTCACGACTCCAATAGCATAGCAGAGCGTATTTGTTGCAAAAATGTAACTGCTATTATATATCGTTTAAAACGTCCAATGTAAATTTTTAGACATTTATTCGTCAAATACACACAATTCCTATATGTCAACACAGGGCAGTACACCGAGATAGTGCGAAGAAAAAAATACGATCGAGGACACATGTTGATAAATAAAAAATACCCATAATACGGTGTAATCGACTATTTGTCCTATAACATAGAACCGGCAGTTACATTAAAAAGAATGATAACATCGATAAATAAATTTCATGAGAACTAAAGAGAGCTGCGTCTCCGAACGTGGAGGCAGAATAGCCCTCTAATGATCAATCCTCTACTCCGCAAGTGAATAGAATAGGTGTGACAAGATCCAACATATTAGTACTTACGTGATGAAGAACTTAAAATGTCCGAGAGAAAATGCGCTGAGTTTAGAACTACCGTTTAGGAGTTCTGAAACAGTCTAGAGATGTTGAACGCTGAGACTTAATCATCGACACTACTCAAATTGCGTGCGGGATTTTCATCTTAGTAAGAAGAAAAGAAGGCAAGTAAATAAGCCGAAGCTCCACCAACTGCATGCACATTCTTACCACTACAGCTATACCTAATGTTTATTCTAATAGCAGCCAAAGGCAGTAGCTTAGCACATCCTCCACCCAAACGTTTCTTACCTGGAGTAATCCGACGCGCTGATCTCGAAAATCCACCTTAGAGATAGCGAATTTGGAGAGAACCAGCCTTTGAGACCCTTCACTTTAAATTAGGACGAGTGGAACAGCTCCCACCAAGACTAGAGAAGCAGAGAATCGCGGGACCCTTATGGTTGTAACATTATGGCATGTCGCCTACTACGGTGGCAGAGGAATTGCGCGTTTCTCCTCAAACGTTCGTGGTTTAAGTCCCGCAACATCGGCTCACAAAATGAAGATGGCGAAAAAAAGTACTTGCTTAAAACCCGATTCTGTCCCACCTTAAAGCCGGGACGAACTGCATGATATGTGCCCGACCCTAAATTCAGGAAATCGGGTTTCGAGCAAGACTACCCTTTTCTGGGGATTCTTCATTTTGTAAACGGACTCTTGCGGGACTCAAACTACAATCGTGGGTCAGTGCGTTATGCGGGTTTGGGGGCAATTTTCTTGACAGAGTCAGCACGCCGTGCGCATGGACTATGTTTTTATATTCGGGGTGTAAGAAGCTAGCATACCCAAACTGACTGAAGAACTGAGTAGTGGCTGAACATGGTCCTACCACGACAATCTCATGGCAGCAGAACCCAAAACTTGGCATGCGTTCACCTAGCTTTGGCAGCACTGATTGAGAAGACTGCACCTTAGAAGATCAGCAAACCTTGAGTGGAGACGGCGCGCTATTTTTGACTACACACACCTTTATGTGCATGTATGGGGAGCTCAATCAATTTTCCCAGGCGTTTTCGATGTGCCAATAATCACAGGAACAACAATATCAAAATGTTCGAGATCCAATTTAAAGAAATAGCTGATTGTTACAAGTCGATCGGCATGAATTGATGTCGGAGGTAAATCTGAAGGCACGGAGAATTCTATTTCTTTTGTCTCTGGACCAGATCCAGGACTAGCCTTGCACGTTCCCTAAACATGAAGCATACGACGTTATTGAGACTTCCCGGAACTTCCGAGAGTGTGCTAAAAAACCCACATGAGACTCTACAGCTATAGTCACACTCTTCCGATCCATCAGCTCCGTTTCGTATCGGTTTGTAGAGACAAAATCAAGCTGTTGACAGAGCGATATCAGCACACATTCATGTTGCCCCTAGAATGCTTAGGATAACTGGGGGTAAACACGGTGACATTTTCTTACCTTCTTGCGCTGCCATCGTTTCTTGCGCGTGCGATCCTCAACAGTCAACGTAATCCTGGTGGTCTCTCCTAAAATCTTTCTATTTAGAAATTGAGAAGTAAAAACTATTTTAGCGAGAATACGCTTTTGGTGCAGACGCACGATATAAACCAAACAATTAGATTTGCGAATGGCTTGCAAATTTTTACAAGGAAGAAAAATGTTTTTGCAAGTCTAAAAAAAATTTGGAAAAAAATTTATAGGGGTGTCTCAAAAGTTTGTAAACACTGTTTGATTGCTAATATCTCTCTTCCCAAAAAGTCTTTTGCCTATCCTCAGGTATCATCTTGTAGAGCTGACTACAACATAGATATTATTAATTCCATGACTAGGAGACGCGAAACAGCATCGCATACAAACAAGCTTAATTGTGTACTTAGCAAATTTATACTTGTCATTTATCTCGTCTAGGTTTACCTTCTTTGGAAACAGGGAAGAACAAACTCAAACATGCTAAGACAATGTCTGCAATGCGGTCAAGCGTCTCCTAGTCATATAATAGATGATACACAGTTTAGAGCGAATCACCGATCATTCGTCACTAGTGTAAGATTACGGTGGAAACTTTAAGAAGGGTTTTGAGCCATTGAGGGCCCTACTTCGATTCAGAAAGCAAGCCAAAGAACCTGGAAATCTTGCACTACGCTATTCGAAGTTGCTAAAACTAATTATGAACTTTGCATTTCACCGCAGCTTCCTTCGTAACTTACGCTAGGCAAACCGTAGTAGCTGGCTTTACAATGCATCCTAAAACTTTGATTACACCATATGAAAAGCTCTACAAATTTCTGAAAAGTTGAGTAATGAAGTCAGTGCGCGTAAATTTCCTGATACCCCACCCCATTTTTCAGAATCTTTGGAAACTTTTTTCGAAACACAGTTAATCTACAATGACGCTGTAAGCCAAATGTTTCTGCCGTTATTCACATCAATGAATAGCGATCGGTTCTTTGCTCCGTACAGTAAATCTAAGTTAAATCCAGCTCTACAAAATGGTATCTGAGGTTAGGCAAAAGACTTCTTGGGAAGGTAGATATTAACGACAAACAGTGCTTACATACTTTTGGGACACCCTATATATGATGTAATTGAGAAACAACCTGGCAAAAGTCCAACTTCCTGCACTTTCATTGATGCGACTATAGTTCCGCGTCCCCGGCCACAGCAGCCAGTAACCTAAAATTTTTACCGAATTGCAAATCAAAAAAGGGGGCCAACATAAACCAGTCCTAACAAATTTGTTTTGTGAGTTGTAGACCTTTATGATCAATACAGATTATGGATCAGTATTTTATACCAATATTATCAATATTATTTTTTTATTTTTTTCTTTGATCAATATTTCAGAGAAATTCTGATATGCTCCACCCGCTTTTTTCTATGGTACTTTTCTGTACTTTGATTAGGCTAAGGGAAATAAATATCGAACTAGATATTTCTTGACCATATGATATTGTAGCTTCCACCACATTAGTGGTCCACTGCAGCAACTGCTGAAAGATTGTGTTTCGCTTCTTTATAGCCATTTTCACTGCATACAAAAAAGGTGCATAATTCCCTTCAGAAAGGCGCGCAGCAATTAGGCAGGATACTCAATTAGTGTTTTATGCTGGGTCTGCTAAAGTGCATTCCATTTTAGTTGCTGACTTCCTCCAAAAGTACTTTTTTCTGTGAGCCTACGGTATGGTATTAGTCATAGTGAAGTTGAATTATGTTTGATGGAAATCCCACAAATACTGCTTGAGAAAATCGAGAAAACTCACCAAGGTCTCTTCCGTGGATGCAGCTGCATCTCGCATATATGGTGCATCCAGATTCAGATATGGATATACTTTGAATGTTTTCTCTACAAAATAGCGAAATCAAGGAGCTGCTTGCACTTTTGGGTACCAACCTGCAACCATCTCCGTGTCACCATCTTCAGGAATTGCCATCAATGCAGTGCAAGTGTAACGAACAGAACCGTAATTGTCTCGATCTATCTATAAAGGAAAGTCTTAGAGGCAGATGTTACTAGCAGCAAAAGTGATTGCGCTTTTCGATCGATAAAGATAGATCTTTTAATGCGCGGCCCGTGTAAACCACTCGTCGGCTCAGTGCAAATGAGTTTGCAACCAACTTGGTAAGTTGAATTTACTTCCGCACACCCTTGCTACAAAAATGCAATTCCGGTTGCCAGAAGATCGTTTGGTCAACTGCCGCGGTGGCAAGTTTACCGAGCCGGTGAATTGGGGGATGTAGTAATTTGAACTTACGAAGAAAATTTACAAGAGAGGAAATCGAAAAAAACCCGTTAAGTTGTTGGGTAATCTTCGGGAAATGAAGTTGTGTTCTTTGCTTTGGGACGCACAAAACTGCACGATTTTCTTCTCTCTAATTTATTTGGGGTTGCTTGAAGTAGGTGTGAAAAATCGTAATCAATTTTGATCCAATTTCAGTCGAAATTTTAAAATGCCATACTTTTGGTCGAAATGTTGTCAACATCATTTATGGTGCGAGTCAACCTTCACTTATAATGCATCACGGAATTTGAAAAATACGCAAAAGAAGCTACAGTATACTCACAGAAGAGAGGACATCCAGTGGTAAGCGAGCCTCGAAATGTACCGTATGTCGACCTTCTAGGAGGTAGAACTCTTCATTACAATGATCCGCAATGGAACTGAAAAATCATATTTGATGCTGGATTCTTGGTTGATCAAATCTCCCCCCTTACGTGGTTAAATCAATGAGTTCATCCATGAAATTATGCCTAGATTCAAACAATAGTTCACTATTTTTATTTCGCCATCCCGTCTCGGCGACACCCGTCAATCGTACTAGAAGGCCTCCAATTCGTACTTCACGTGTACATCCGACTTCGATCACACCCTGAGAGAAAAACGACAGAGTAAAATAGGTTATTTTTTTGATTTTTAAAAGTCAATATTTCAAACCTTGATGATCTCCCCTCCGATGTACGGCTCATTCATACCTCTATCCAACGTAACATCGAAGTAATCCACCTAAAATAGTAGGTGATTAAACTATCAGGTAATAGGTATAAATGCCGGGTACCTTCATTGCTGTGTCTCATTATGACATAGGTATCGGTATGGCGTCACTGCGATGAAAATTTCTGTAAAAATGTTTATAGCTAGTTTTTATTAGGAGAGCTTGAGAGTTAGCAGGAATTTGCGATGTGAATTACGACACAAGGATTCAAAGCAGTTCTAAGTAAATTTTTTGGAAAAGTAAGGATGGCCCCAAGTGAGCGGAATTGTCATAAACATGACTGAAACTTCATAACGGACAAGGCATTGAATTTTAGAGGTAGTCGAGGTTTTAGAGCAAAAACCATTGCATTTGGATCCAGTCTCACTCTTTGGACGAGCAAACATTGCAGTAAATTCGATCTGACTAAGGTTGTTTGATGTTTTGGCAACAAGCGATAGACTTCCAGAATTTCACTTAAATGCATATAAGACACAAGCAAGGTCAGGTCTTTCATTTTAGTACAGGTCGTTAGTACTTGTAGTCATTATTTCTCTTAGTCGCCACAGAGCAATTAGGCGAAGTCCAAAAAATTAGCCTAGAACTCGCTGAGGAAAAAAGAAGCGACTTTGATTAACAAAATTCGACTACAGTGAGCAAAAATTACGGATCCTTCAATAACTAATTTTGATTTTTTTAAACTTCCGATTTTTCTTGGAAAAGACATTCCTTTCTGAAAAATTATGCACAAGCTAAATATATATCATATTTTCAAACGTGAAATTAAGCTTGATTCGTCGTAAAGTAGGAGATGCAAGAGACCAAGCATAACAAGGCATTATGAGAAACAACAATCAATCCGAAATGAAACGCTTGCCAAAATCAGTGACACATGAAAAGCGCATCTCAACTTGGCGTTCCTATAATCTCATAGAGATTCGCATGCAGCACGAGCTTCATTGCTCTGCTCTCCTTAGTAACCGCGAGAGAATTCCACAAAAACCTCATTTTAAGTGCACGACTCGGTCGCGCATAGTCAATTCGCGTCAGCCATCATTAGCGAAATGTTCATCTTTTACTTCGAACAGAAACGCGTAGGCAGCCGGGGAGAGCAAAATTAGACCCGCAGGGTTTCTTGCGCTGAAACAAAGTTTTGCTTTTTTCCTATTTTGAACTTTATAGTTTCACAAAAAGCAATTTCAATGATTAATCTCAAGATCATGCAGCTTTTTCTCATTCTTATGAATATTTTTTGTAATAACATGATAAATAAAAGGTGCTTTACAGTGCCTTAGCAAACATATTAGGTCATTCCGAAAGTAATTTCGCTTTTTTCAAACGGACGCCACAGACGATGGAACAAAGATTTCTAAAGGGACATGGAAGCATTCGATGCAGAATTTCATTCTCTTTCTAACGGTTATGTAACTGTTGCAAAACAGCCAAGGACCTCTCAGAAAATAACCATAACCTGCAACCCATGCTTTTTGAGATAGTCAAGTTTAATGATTTTTTAAAACTTTCATATCAATCCTCAGAAGGATTGCAAGTAACGATTCGATAGAGTAAACCTTATAGAATACAGTACTACTTTTTTCTCCTTTCCATAGCTTGTCATACATTTTTAACAGAATTTTAACTGATGCTACCGATTTCCATATTTGAGCAGCTAAATCCTCGTAGAACATCAAACCTTGAGCAGCTCGGGTGTCATTCAATGCAGCTTTTTCTCTTCTTTCTGATGGGTATTTTTGGTTTCCGATTCGTTTAGTTTCCGGGGATGAAATCATCATAATTCATTTCTTTAGCGAGCCTCAGGCTGTACCCGAAATCGAAATTTGATAATTCGAACCCCTAAACCCTCACATGCTTTGTAAAACTTATGCTAACTCATAGTACTATCTTGGTAGTCTCAAATTCGGAAAAATTATGATGTTTGATGCGATTGTGGCTGAGGTGGGTCTGCCAAAATCCCATGGTTCTGTTAAAAAATCTTTTAAAAAATTACGGCGAGATACGAGTAAGAGAAAAAAGTAGTTCCGTATTCTATAAGGTTTACTCTATCGAATCCTTACTTGAACTCCTTCTGAGAATTGATATGAAAGTTTTAAAAAATCATAAAACTTGACCATCTCAAAAAGCATGGGTTGCAGGTTTTGGTTATTTTCTGAAAGCTCATTGAATGTTTTGCAAAATCTACATAACCTTTAGAAAGAGAATGAAATTCTGCATCGAATGCTGCCAAGATCTCTCAGAAATCTTTGTACCATCGTATGTGGCGTCCATTTGAAAAAGCGAAATTACTTTCGGAATAACCTAATACATTTTCCCCATTTTCCCCATAAATCTGAAAGCTTTAGAATTGAATTTCTCCGTTTCACAAATTATAATAGGGACTGAAACGCTGGCAGATGGAATGATTTCTTCCAGAAATTCACAATTTGGTTGAAGGTATTGCCAGAAAATATTAGAACGTTGGAGGTTTCAGGTGCTGTTTGCCACTTGTCTATGCGTTTTGTGATTGTTTAGGCAAAAAAAAGAAGATGTAAAATTATTACAGGAAAAGATAATGGCATTTTTTATCATCACTTATCTAGACCAATAAATCGAAACATTAGTGAAATTTGTGAACCACGATTTGACGTTTTCAGATGTTATGAGTGCTGAGAGAATTTGGAAACCCGCGAAGAGCTTTCGAGGCTTAGAAGTTGCACTAATGCTCATTACTATCTCTTTCTGACATTACCAACAAGGCAACACTGGAGAGAAAATTAGAAATTCTCTGAAAATTGGGAAAGTTGGATAAAAAATATGACAGATTCTGCTAATGCTTAATTCTTGTTAATTAAAGTAAGCTATTATCTTGATCGTAAAATCACGTGAAAGGCTGAAATTAGCAAATCCTCGAGGCAGAAACACGCACAATTGCTGGTAATTTACATTTGTTACGTGTTCGATTGGGACACACTTATTGCATGAAAAAAAATCAGGAACTTGGAAATTTTTGGTTCAAGCAGCTCTAAAGAATTTGATTTATGGCAATTGCTCATAGAACTTAGTGGTTTGACGGCCCGTATTTCAAACTTCTTTCAAGTTGTAAAACGGACAACGTCGTGAAATTATGCAAAGCACGACAAGCCAGCAAATGCAATGCATTTTCTGAACCGCATGTGCAGAGTGTGCATTTGCACAATTACGGCAAAGATGTTGATCGTCAAAAAGCTTTGAAGGCTTGAAAAATGTGGAAACCTCGAACTGTCTAATTTTTTGTGCACAACTTTGGCCGTGATACTTCCGTCAGTAATAATTTCTCCGTGTCCAATTTTCTTTTCAATGGAAAGTTGAATGCCGAAACTGCGCTTGAGATAGCAGGTTAAGTTCTTAGAGGGCGATCCGGAAGGTGATGTATACGTGATGTATACCCATGGACAGAGCTTTCAACGCTGATGTCAGATATACCTTCCATATCTGCAATGCGCTTTTCTGCAGAAAGTTATGAGCTTTTCTTATGCCAAATTTCCCATTCTAGTCGTAAAATCACGGTTATTTCCGCACAAACGTATGCAGGCTCAGGCAAAGCACCTACTAAGCATTGTGGCATTGTCTGATCTGATACCGTCTGAACGCGAATGTTGTTCTTAACTGTTATTCACAGGTCGTCATTTTTCTTCTAGAGCACACTTCCATTATATAAGGTTGTCCCAAAAGTAAACTCCTTTTCTTAATAATTCAAGCTGCTTCTGCTTTTCTAGTATATATAGGATATCGTTGAGTAGCAGGTTAAGCTCTACAAAATGACCACCAAGGGTTCGCCTGAGTCACATTCCGTTTAACTCCACAATCAAAAAAATCTACAACCTGAAAACTGTTTTGCGAGGAACACCTCCACGGGCCTTCAACTTAGTCATTATACGGTGGCATATAGTAGTACTCAAATATGCCTTTACTGGATTTTTTTCCGCTCATAGTAAGCGAGAAAAAAAGATAGTCCAAAAATGGCAAACTCCGCCCCTAGTCCCTCCCACATATGTCATTGTATACTACAAGCCTTAATAAGTATTATCTCAAAGCTACGCCGCTATACAAACTTTTATAATCGAGAAATACCAAGTATTAGATGAAAAACTCGAAAAAGTGGCATTTGAGCATATTCAAACCATTCTTATTTCTCAAATTTGAACCCAGAAAAAAAATTCACCGAACGCATTTGATATCACTAGTGTCTACTGTTTAACTCTTCAAGGACCAAACTGGAAGTTCGTAGGAATTTTCTGGAAGGAGATCCGATTTTTAGGGTAGCTGGAAAATTGTGATTTTTGGAGCCAAATTTTGTCTGATTACGGCTTTAGTGGATCCTTAGATGCTTTCTATAAAGCAGGCTTTGCTCTTCGAATGGCACCCCAAGTCTTTTGAAAAATCAAAAACAGTTTGATTTATTTAAAAATGGATTTTACTTTTGTGACAACCTGCTAAAAACAAAAAAGCCCATAACTTCCTTTAGGAAAACGCTTCGCAGGTTTAGAAGCTATATTTGAGACCAGTGTTTCGGGCCTATTTGAAAATGCACATCACCTTACAAATCGTCACTTCGACAAAGCGAACTTCTCTTGTTAGTGAATTTTTTACGTCTGCGCAAAAAATATTTAAAGTGGAAGAAAAAAAAATAGAAAAATGCCAAATCATAGACATGTAACTAGCGCGAAGACTACTCTAGAGGCTAACACACGCACATAGCATCGTTACAAATCACGTCAAAGTTTAAACGACTCCGAGCGAGGTCGCCAATTTACGCGATTCCGCTATTTCCAGAGAACATAAGGTCGAAAATCGCGGAAAAAGAGAGATATAGCAGTAAGTGTAAGTTGTTTTGTGCTTGCTAGAAAAGGAACTGGGATCGATTTCCAAGTGCAAAATTCGCACACTCACACATCTGCTTTGGAGGGAAGATTTTGTAGTTGAAATAGTGTACTCCAATTAGGCGTTGAGCTTGAAGAAATGAAGAAAAACCGCTAAGTCGAATGAAGGAAGGAAGGCGGGTTTGGAAACTTAAAAAGAAATATTTTATGGGAAAAATAAACTTCAAAGCTCAC